CTGTGTTACAGAACGACAATGAACCAACAGACAGACTAGCCAAGAGGGCAACCAGGGCAGTAGTGAACAATCACATGACCTAATATTTAAAAGCTTTTTTTTTTTTTTCCAGTAAGAACTGATTAGAAATTGTGTGGCTAAACAGTATTTTGTAGCCAAAATGGGATAAAGGCAAGGCCAAAGGTAGACTGTTCAGGACCATGCGTGTGCGTGTGCGCGTTGTGACAGTGCAGGGAGCAGGTGCAGGCACGTGCGCGTCTAAGGCGTGTCCCTGGTCGACTGTGTTGGGACTCAGCACAAGGGCGATCACAATCCTTGCAGAAGTGACAAACAAACTCACGAGGGAATAAGAAGTTCCACAAAGCTATGCAGTATTTATGGTTAGGAAGATTATTATCTAAGAGACAATAAACAAAACAACCCAGTGTCTTGAAAAACCAAACACCACCACCACGAAAAAACCTCCAACAAAACAAAACAGAGGGGAGCTGGAGAGATGGCTCAGAGGTTAAGAGCACTGGTTGCTCTTCCTAGAGGTCCTGAGTTCAATTCCCAGGAACCACATGATGGCTCACAACCATCTACAATGAGATTTGGTGCCCTCTTCTGGCCTGCATGCATACATTCAGGCAGAATACTGTATACATAATAAATAAATAAATCTTAAAAAAAAAAAAAAGCAGCAAAAAAACAAAACAAAACAAAAAAAAACCCTCACTGTGTAGCCCTGGCTGTCCTGGAACTCAGTTTATAGTCCAGGATGGCCTTTAACACACAGAAATCCACTTGTCTCTGCTTTCCAAGAGGCATGTACCACCATGCCAGTTTGTTAAAAACCTTTTTTCAAATACATTTTTTAACTGTTATTCAGGTACTGGGATTTTTTCTGGTGTTAGGGCTCAAACTCAGGACTGTGTATTCTAGGCAACATGGTCACTAAGCTACATTCTCAGCCCAGTAGTACAAGTGTGTGTATGTGTGTGTGTGTGTCCCTGTCTCTGAGAAAGGGTCTCATTATGTAGCTCACACTGGCCTTGAGCTAGCGGGTAAACTAAGCTGGCCTTGAGCTCTTGATCCTTACGCCTCAGCTTTGATCCCTAGGCTGAAAAGAGTGTGCCATCTACCTGCCTGAATTCAGTCAGTGTTTTTTGTTTTTAAAGATTTTTTTTTAATTTATTATTTTTACAACATTCTGCCTGCATACCAGATCTTACTGTAAATGGTTATAAGCCACCATGTGGTTGCTGGGAATTAAACTCAGGACCTTTGGAGGAACAGAGAGTGTTCTTAACCTCTGAGCCATCTCTCCAGCCCTCAGTCAGTGTTTTGAATCAAGCATCCCAGGTTGGTCTCAAACTTTCCATGTGGGCAAGCACTTTAAACTTCTGATCTTCTCTCCATTCTCAAATGCTAGGATGACAGGCCACAGGCCACAGGCCTGGCTTATGCAATGCAGGCAATCAAGCCCAAGGCCTTGGGCATGCTAGGCAAGAGTTCTACCAACTGAGCTACATCTAGAGTCCCAATCCAATCCTTTTTCTTTAAAATAAAAAAAAAGATTATGTTAGCAGACAGGTATGGCTGGACACATGGGAAATCAGTGGGCAGCCTGCAGGAGCAGGTTCTTTCCTTCAATTGTGTGCCTCAGGAGTTGAACTCAGGTAATCATTTGGTGGCAAGTACCTTTACCCATTGAGTCATGTTACTGGCTCCATGGTATAACCCAAGCTGGCGGCAAAATCATGATCCTTCTGCCTAGGCTTCTTTAGCATTTCCTGCAGGTACGTACACCCAGGCAGTGCAGTTTTGTTGTTTTTTTTTGAGACAGGGTCTCATGATGTAGCTCTGGCTGTTTTAGCACTCAGTATGTAGACCAGGCTGACCTCAAACTCAGAAATCTACCTGCCTCTGCCTCCAGATTAAAAGCGTGCGCCACTACATTCAGCTCCAGGCAGTGCAATTCTTAATACTATTTCATGTTCTCAGCATTCTGGCGTAACCTCTTACTACTGTCCCCTATCCATTACTTCAGACACACTGGTGGTGGTTTTTTTTTCCTTTTCTTTCATTTACTTAGTTTATATGCATCAGTGTTTTTTCCTGTATGTTTATCTGTGTGAGGGTGTCAGATGTCCTGGAACTGGAATTGCAGACAGCTGTGAGCTTCCATGTGGGTGTTGGGAATTGAACCTGGACCCTCTGGAAGAGCAGCTAGCGCTCTTAACTGATTAGCCATCTCTTCAAGCCATGACCTTGACCTTTTGATCAGCCAGTTCCACTTTTCCTGTTGGCATTACAGATGCCCACTGTTTTTCTTTCCCCACAGAATAGCTTTGTGGCTGTTCCATACCCTACTCCATCCTTCTTGGATTTGTTCCATACCCTACTCCATCCATTCTCCTGATTTGAGACTGGGGCTCTAAGTAGCCTTGTACTCTTGAACCTCCTGCCTCAGTCCTGAGTGATGTAATTGAGAGCAAGAATGCCTCCTTGGTTTATTTTAGGTTATTTCCAGGCCACCTCTCTTGGTTCATCTTCTCAAAGTAGTCTGGGTTAGCCTCTTTCAAATTTATCTTCCATGGTTCTCATCTTAAAACCAGACTGAGTTTTCAGAACACGAAACAGTCCTGAACAGGTTGTTTTTTTTGGGGGTGGGGGTAAGAAAGTTGTTGAGATAAGTTTTCTTTGTGTAACCCTGGTTGTCCTGGACTCACTTGGTAGGCCAGGCTGGCCTTGAACTCACACCGAGATCCATCTGCCCCAGCCTCCAAAGTGCTGGGATTATAGCATGAGCCACCACCACCAGGCTTTGAAAAAAGAACCCAGTATTCACAAATTCCATGAAACTCCAAATAATTCTCTGCTAGGAGGCAAGGTATGCGGAGCGTTAAAGGCAAGAAGCTTACTGAAATCCAGTAATCACTACAAGCAGCCTGATGCTGTTTTACTCTAAGACAATCCAGGCACAGTGTGAGTCACAGAGGTGTGTTGTGGGGTAAGGAGAAAGTAGTGAAAACTGAGTGCCTTCTGATATGACTGTTGCTTTAAAAAGGAGTACCCATTATGAAGCACTCAAAGTTTCTGTAAGTTACAATAGTTACTGGCTGATTTCATACCTTTGTTGTGTTTTTCTCGTGGTTAATTTTACTAGTCATGAACCACATGGAAAAGAAATTCACCTAAATTGCCATAGAGGTATCTCTGCAGTCCTTTGCTAAGCAATTTAAATGATGGAATACTTCTGGAAACAGGGTGGCTTCAATTTGATCACTGTGTCCCTTGTGAACAGCAGTGACCATGGAGACCTTGTTGCTCATCTCTAGAAAAGCTATGCCATTTCTTTATTACGGTATAGGAGCCATGTTCCAACTATAGGATGTAAACGCAGGGTTAAAAGGACAAAAGCTAAACCCTTCTGAAAGATCAATACTGTACCGTGGACCACATACTTTGCAGGGTCTGCAGAAAAAGGCAATGCTGGATTAGTATCTCCTTTTACATCATGAGCCACTCCCCAAGACAAACTGATACTAATCAGGGTTTATTTCAGGCCGTAGTAAACCACTTAGACCCTTGGATGACACTGCCGTCACCGTTATCTACAGGATCTTGCAAAGCTATCAAAGTCACAAAACCAGATTATTGTTTATTATTAGCCCTATAATTATTAGGGTGGTATTATTTAGCATACTGTCACTTGTTAGGCTTTATAATTGCCTTTTTTTTACTTGGGGCTGGGCAAACATTTCCACCTAAGCTATCTCAATAACCTCCCCATCCATCTCTCAGCCCCCGTTCAATGTCATCCATCTTAAGCATTCCTATGTAGGCTACCTTCCATCTATAATCTTAGAAATAATTGCTTATATTTTTTATCTTGGTGTTTTCTCCATCCATACCATCCTTGGAGTCCTTCCTCCTGGCCTACATGGTTTCTTCTTCCTCCTAATCCTTCATGGCATCCTCCTCTCTTCTCATCTGTTTCCTGTGATTCTCCTATCTCTAAAGCCCGGGAACCTTAGCCATGCCTACCTCCCTCTGCCCTGCCCAGGTAGAGGCCTTTTTTATTAACCAATGAGGAATAATGTCTCAGGCAGGTTTACATAAGGACAGGTGTATCCCTGCAGTAACCAGATCTTGAGGGCCAGTAATTAGCATCAAAACATAAGCACCAGACCAACTCCCCAAAGTCCATGTAGTTCTAGCTGTCCTAGAACTGAATATGTAGACCAAAATGGCTTGAACTCAGAGACCTGTCTGGCTCTGCCTCTTGATTGCTAGGATGGGAGGCTCAAGCCACCATACCAGACTATCCCAATTACATGGTTCTTTCACCCTGCTCTACTCTCAAAGATGTTATAATAGTCACACATCTAACACTACCCTTTTCTTTCTCGAGGAGGCAAATATTCAAACTGACAAGAACCCCCAACATTTTTACAAAGTTGCCGAAATCCAAAATCCAAAATCCAAAAACAGTTTTTGAGATGAGGTCTCATGTAGCCCAAGTTGGACTTATACTCCTGCGCCTCTTGCATATTTCCTTTTGAGAAATTTTCTTATGCTCAGGCTGGTCTTGAACTCCTTGAGCCAAGTGATATTCCATTAGTCTTTTCTGTTGCTGGGTGAATTCTGCCACATCTGCTTAAACTTTCGGTCTCTCTCTTTTTTTTTTCCCCTGGAGATAAGAGTCTCATTGTTCCAGGGTGGTCTGGAACTGTGTATACTAAGTTGGCTTCAAATTTGTAGTGGCCCTCACAACTCTACCTTCCAACCGCTAGGCTTACAGACATGGGCCAGTACAATTCACTTTTTTTGTTTTTTTAGTTTGTTTCTCTGTGTAGCTCTGGCTGTCCTGAACTCACTCTGTAGACTACACTGGCCTAGAATTCAGATTATGCAAACATATATTTAAACCTTATCAACATAACAAGGCCAAAGACAACTCAACTTACTTTCAGGAAAAACTGTGACTGCTATGTTTGACAGAGAAAACACAGTTATTCGACAGCTAGTATTTTATTCTGATAGCAGTCTCATTACACATGGTCCAAGAACATTCAAATAATAACTCTCAAATAAAATGAGATGTTAAAGATTGGTCTTCAAACATCATAGCCAATGATGCCACGTTTGCCTATGATCTCTCCGACATAAAACCACATCCACACCTCAGTGGCCACCAAACCATTCAGCATAGCTTCCTGGAAAAAAAGAAAAGGCACAGATTTTAAGGTACTCTAAAAAACAAACAAACAAACAAACAAAAAAAAAAAACCCCCAACATATATTTGAAATTTTTCTCTCTCAGGATTGACAGAGAATATAAGGATGCCATTTAAAACTACAGAACAGTTTTAGCCAAGCCTGGAATTGCTGATGTTCAATATTCAAACTCCGAGAGACTTGAACTTTCAATTATGTGAGGCAAACGGGCCTGAGCTTATAAACTCTTTCAAAGGGATCTTTAAAGACCTGAACTGACATAACCCTTTCATTATTAGTTTATGAGACACTTTATGGGCCCTAAAACGACCCATATCCTGGAAGTGGCTCACATATCAGACAGGGCATTCATAGGAAGGCTTGTTTCTGAATAAACACTTCTGTCTGTCAAAGATGAAGGACTTCTTCCCTCTTACATCCCATTCACTTCATTTTTATTAACTATCATTTGGTTTAATACCTTCCAAGTATTCAGTATCCATTTTATGTTCCAGATACCCCTATCCCCAACTCCCCCTCCAAAAAAAGAAACACACACACACACACACACACGGTTCTACAAAGCATGGCTTCAAGAAAACACAAACTTGGATCTAAACACTCTAATTCGAAAAATACCTTTCTATAAACAAACTGGACCCTTTTACTACTATTAATAAAAGCATTTCTGGAGGTCACTTTCCTCCTTCAATAAGACCAGAAGCTATTGAAGTCTCCTGACTGTCACCCTCCCCCAGGCCAAGGCTCTAGCCCTAGAAGTTGCCAGAGATCGGGTGCACTTAGAGGCAACTTCCTTTAAGCTACTTCCAATCTGAAAACCCAGATTTTGTTCTGCCTAATAATAATTCTAAGACTAAAAAGAAAACAAAGCCAGCAAAGGCAGCCATCAGATTATTATTATTACTATTTTTTTAAAGACTCATATATCTATCTATCTATCTATCTATCTATCTATCTATCTATCTATTGTATATGAGTGCTCATTTATTGTATATGAGTGCTCTGTCTCCATGTATCCCTGCATGCCAGAAGAGGGCATCAGATCTCCGTATAGATGGTTGTGAGCCACCATGTGTGAGAATTGAACTCAGGACCTCTGGAAGAGCAGACAGTGCTCTTAAGCTCTGAGCTATCTCTCCAGCCCACCCATCAGATTATAATACACTAGTTGACATTAGGAAGGAGAGCAAGTTCCCAGTTACTCAAGACCCTCACCTTTTTGCTCTAAGACCACAACTAGATCAAGACATAGACCAGCTGAATCACTTCTATCCAGATTACAAAATGAGAAAAGAAAATGTCTTGGCAGCCAAAAAAAGAGATTATCTCTCATTATGTTGGATTTTGCCTTATTAGAAAAATACATAACATTAATCAAAAAGAATCCGAAAAATCCTCAGGGAGGACATTTTCAATCACAAACATACTTTTTCATTTAGCACAGTTACCTTAACTGTAAGCTGTTTGAAGCTACCAGTTTTAGCACTTTGAATGATATTTTTCAAGCTCCGAATAGCTGTAGGGATTTCAGCAGGGGTAGGGGGAACAAGCTCAACTTTGGCATACTCCCAAAATGTGGCCAAGCGAGGCTTCGAGTAAGTCACGGCAGCTGAAAAACAAAACAAAAAAACCCAGGGTGAACTCACTAGAGATAGAAAGAAGCAGATGTGTGGGCTGGACACAAATATTTATTCATGTATCACATCCACTAGCTGCTTGGACTGAATGTGCACCCGATGTTAAAAGTCGGAGCTGCTGCTCCCTGGTGACAAGAGGCTTTTAAAGATGCAGAACACCTGTGTCACAGGGACACTCAGCCAGGCAGGAAGCTCTAAGCAGCCAATTATGCCAGGACTCACTAGTGGCCAAGCTAGTACTGTTCTTCACCTCTGAACAACAAAACTAATTAAGTGTGCATTACTCATAGCTAGACTTGAAACAAAACCAAAAACAGTTTATTCATTTTTCTTTGTAGAAACACCAGATCTTGAAGAGAAGGGGTCAAGAAGGGGAAGAAACTATGTAGAACAGCATTCTTTTAACAATAGGTTGTGGCTCATCACAATACTGGCCACAAGTCCAGATGGAATTATACCAATTAGTATCCATTTTTGGTATCCTTAGCAATACGTGCTGGCTTAAATCTTTCTCAGCACAGCACAGCTGCTCCCCTTTCAAAAACTGCACTAGAAATATAACTTACAGGGGCCAGGGAAGGAGCCAGTGTGCTTCAAGAGGTATTGCCTGAACTCATCCATGTTGCCACAGGCCTTGGCCCAGGCAATGAGCACAGGACATCTTAATGGTCAAAGCCTCCACAGCAGTGCAGTGCCTGCAACCTACAAGTACGTGAATGTACCGAAGCTTGAGATGAACATGGAGGTCTGTGACTGACTGTGCAGCTTAGACTCTGCTGTGGATGGAACTCTTTCGAGGACTGGGCATGATCCTGAGCTACCTCTTTTGGGAGCCTGCCACCATCAACTACCCTTGCCCATGCTTCTGTGGGGAGCATGCACTGTGTCGCTACCCATCTGGGGAGGAATGCTGCATGGCCTGCAAGTTCCGTGAGGCTGTCTGTCCTGCACAGGCCATCACCATTGAGGCTGAGCCAAGAGCTGATGGCAGCTGCTGGACTATACGCTAGGACATTGACATGACCAAGTGCATCTACTGCAGATTCTGCTGGCAGGCCTGCCCTGTGGATGCCATCGTTAAGGGCCCCAACTTTGAGTTCTCCACTGAGACGCACGAGGAATTGCTGTACAACAGGGAGAAACTACTCAACAATGGCGACAAGTGGGAGGTGGAGATCGCCGCCAACATCCAGGCTGACTACCTATACTGATGACCCTGGCCACCTGGCTCAGCCTTGCGATCCCTGAAGACCATAAAGAAACTATGACCCCCCCCCCCCCAAACAAAACAAAACAAACCTTACATGCACTGGTAAGAGCAATCAAAGCTAGAGTATATGACATGTGGTAGTGGGGCACACCTTTAATCCCAGCACTTGGAAGGCAGAGGCAGGCAGATCTCTGAGTTCAAGGCCAGCCTGGTCTATGGAGTGAGTTGTGGGACAGCCAGGGCTACACAAAGAAACTCTGCCTTGAAAACCAAAACAAACAAAAAATTCCCTACAATCTGTTCTTAAGCTGAGATTCCTTGATGTAGTCACTATCTCATATCAATGAATTCATCAGGAGAAATAATGACCAAATCAGTACAGGGTCTGGGATGTAGCTCAGTGGCAGAGCATGTACAAGAGACAGAGACTCACAAACCGAGGAGAGAAACACAGAGATGTATGGTGAGGGGGCAGGAATCTGATGCTACTGGATTAGAGTTATACACATGTACATAGAGAGGCACAAAAATCAATCATTTATTTATTTATTATTATTTATTTTTTTATTATTCCCCCCACACCCCCACCAGGGTTTCTCTGTGTAGCCATGGCTGCCCCGGAACTCACTCTGTAGACCATGTTGGCCTCAAATTCACAGAGATCCACCTACCTCTGCCTCCACATCCTGAGTGCTGCGATTAGAGATATTCACCACACCACCAGCTTTTTATTTTTTAAAGATTTATTTTATTTTGTGTATGAGTGTTTTGCCTGTATGTATGCCTATGTCCCATATGTGTGTAGTCCTCACAGAAGTCAGAAGAGGGCACCACATCCCCTGGAACTAAATTGTAGTTGTGAGTCACCAAATGGGTACTGGGAACTGAACCCAGGTCCTCTGCAAGAGCAACAAGGACTCTCAACTACTGGGCCATCCTTCAGCCCTAGAAACAAGTATTTCTATACACAGGCTAACATGCAAATATAGGTATGTGTCTCAATACCTGCTGTGCTGGCTAGTTGTGTCAATTTAACACAAGCTGGAGTCATTTGGTAAGAAGGAACCTCAACTGAGAAAACACTACCAGTTTGGCCTATAGTGTATTTCCTTGATTGGTGACTGATGAGAGAGGGCCCAGTTTACTCAGGTAGCACCCCGGGGCTAGTGGTCCTGGGTGCTATAAAAAAAAAAAAAAAAAGCAGGCTGGATAAGCCATTGGGAATAAGCCAGTAATTTCCTCCATAATCTTTGCTTCAGTTCCTGACTCCTAAGTTCCTGCCCTGATTTCCCTGGATGGTGGATTTCAAGCTGTAGAGAGGAAATAAACCGTTTCCTCCACAAGTTGCTTTTGGTCATGGTACTTTATCACAGAAACTAAACTAAGACACCTATCCACCAAGAGAACTTTGAAATGAACTCTAGCAGCAAAGAACAAACCTGCTAGATGGTAATTTGTGAATTCCATTGTTTAATAAAAGGAACCAGGACTCCTTGGAGAAATGGCCAAGTCTAAGGCTAAGTAGAGAAAATAAAGATAATTTATCATGCAAAACCAAAAACTAAGGCATCATGTCAAAGCGGGAAATGCCAACTTAAAAGATTATAGACAGTCAAGGCCGGCACAATCTCAGCAACGAATGACATAGAATTAGATACGAGAAGCATGAAGTAAATTTAAATGGATCAATGCAATGTATGATTAAAAAAAATAGAAGGGGAAAAAAAAAGAGACAGACCTTTCTCACAGAATCCCACTTATGTAGAAGATGGACCAACCCTCCTGCTCTGGTTACTTGCTTGTAAAGAATGGTTGTAGACCAAAGAGCATGCATGTGCTAGATTCGGACGCTCTTCACATATGTAGATGTGCAGCTTGTCATCATGTGAGTGTTCTAACAACGCAAGCAGGGGCTGTCTCTGATGCTGTTTGCCTGCCTGTGGATCCCTTTCCCCTAGCTGGGCTGTCCTGACTGGCCTCAGTGGGAGAGGGTGTGCCTCGTCCTGCTGACTTGAGTGCCAGTGTGGGTTGGTTCCCATGGGGTGGGGCTCCCCTTTTCTGAGAAGAAGGGGGGCTGGGTGGGGAAGGAGGAATGGGGGGACTTGTAGGTGGGACTGGGAGGAAAGAAGGGAAGGGGCCAGGAGGACCAGGCTATAAAGTGATTAAATAAATAAATATATAAATGGAAAAAATACAAATGGTGGCACAAGCCTGCAATCCCAGCACCCAGCACTCAGGTAGGCAGAAGCAGGCAGATCTCGGTGAGTTCAGGACCAGCCTGGTCTACAAAGCAAGGCCAGGATAGCCAAGGCTAAACAGAGAAACCCTGTCTCGAAAAACCAACAAAACAAATCAATCAAACAAACAAACAAAAAAGAATGGATGTAGACACACACAAAAAGACATAAGACATAAAAAAAAAAAAAAAGACATAAATGGTCACCATTTAAGTCACTGTAAAATAACATTAATTTTTGGCAGGTTGGGGAATGAAGATAGGAGATGGGCTTTCTGAGAAGAGGTCTGAGAGAGAGAGGTAATGGTGTGGGTGTGAAAATGACTAAAATTCACTCTATAAATAAAACTGACAAAAAATTAAAGGTGCAGAAAGCAAAAACAATAATTTTAAAGTGGAAGATCTTATTAGATCAGGAGATGGGTATGAATATCATGTACCCCTTAATATGTGATCAGGGTGACTCATCTCTGTGATTACTGTTCTTAAAATCCCTAATTCTGGGCTAATCATCAAAAACAAAACAAAACAAAACAAAACAAAACAAAACAAAAAACCAAGATAACCAGTTTGGGGAACAGTCTTCAGGGTATCTAGGCAGATACCTCAAAGTGGTCAATCATGAAAGATCAGACATAAGAAAGGGGAGACTGGAGAGACACGACAACTAACTTAAGATAATATCCTAGATTGAGACCTAGAATTGAAAGATATTAATGGAAAAACTGTTGAAACCCAAGTAAAATGTTAGCTTAGTTAAGGGGAGAAGAAACAGACAGGGACCTTTCTGGGGAAAGATCTAGTCAGTAATCAGTACTTTTAACATTCATATTTAAAACATCAGCCTATACTGCAGGAAAACACACTTAACATTCAGGCTCTATCGGAGCCCTCCTTTTTTCAGTACTGAAAGAACAAGTTACCTTACAATAACAACAGTGATTTGAAAAGGTTTATGTATTTCACGACCAAAGTTTACCTTGGCAATGTCTTTCCTTTTGGACTTTACCAATAAAACCAGTTTTAAATTCCTGAATACAAGCTACCTAAAAGATGCACAAGTCATACAGCTAGGAAAATAGTACATATGAACTATTAAACCAAGCCACCAAAGTCCAAACGTCAAAGGCTTCTGGTTGTATTAATGTAAAAATTGTAGCACTTTGCTGTAGATAGCCTGATGATCTTAGTAAAGTGAAAGCTGAAAATGAGAAATTCTTTGGAAAAATGTGGAAACCGGCTAACTGGCAGACTAGAGTTCTGTCAAAGGGAATCCAGTATTTACAGTCTGGCACTTTAAGGTTTTTAATAGCTCATTATTGTTTGGGGAGAAAACAAATTACTAAGTATCCAAACACAGCAAAACAGGTTCAAGAAGAATTACATGTTTTTAAAATTCCACTCTCTATTCATATTTTATAACCAAATATGAACATTTAGGAATTTAGCTATCTAGAAATCTGACCTTTAATCATTTACTACAATACAAAGAAAGAAAGAACTGTAAAATTTACGTCCCCGCTTCAGAAATTTGCTACTCAGAAAAGAACTATACCGACAGAATTTACTACTCAGGCTTGTGACTATTCAGTGTTCACCTGAGATAGATCGGTCTGCCAGACTTTTCAAACAAAACAAGACCATGAATGTTAAGCCATCGTGATAACGACGACTCATGACAGGAATCGTTTTTTGTGCTGGCGGGGGCAAGGATATACATCCTCACGTTCCAACTTCCCTTCATCGGACGCAGAACTCTCTAGGATCTGACCAGGACAGTAAGCAAACACAACTTTCTTTCTTTCTTTTTTTTTTTCCTTCGAGACAGTTCTTCTGTGTAGCCCTGGGTGTCCTGGACTTGCTTTGTAGACAAGGCTAGTCTCGAACTCACAAAAATCCCCCAGCCTCTCTGAATGCTGGGATTACAGGCGTGCACCACTGCACCCGGCGCAGAAGCAAAACTTTCAGAGCTCTCACCAGTCTTAAATTTCTGGTGACTTTCAAACATTTCTCTGAGACCCAGAGCACCTACGAGGCCTAATGTGCCGCCTTCCCCGTGTCCGCCCTCCCCTTCCCAGCAGTCCTGGCACGGTAAGGGGCGTCATGGCATTCGCGGCGCAGTGGGGCCGGGCTTCTTCACACGACCCTCTTCCGGGCCGCGGTTGATACCCGGCAGCTTGCGCGCCCTAAGAAGCCCGGGACAGGCCAGGCGAGCCTGCGGTCTTACAGCTGCCTGCTGGCCGTTCTCCCGACGCCCGCGGGCCCCCTTGGTGCCGCAGCACAATCCTTCCCCTCGTGAGCCTCCTTCGGGCCGCGCTCACCGTTCAACAGCACTGGAGCCTTCTCCACGAAGTTGCGAACTAACTTGGCCATGGTCTAAGGTGGCAAGTTCGTCTCCCCGAACCGCCGGCTGAAAGTCACCCCCGGAAGGACCCGCGGCAGGACCCCTGCGCTAACTTCCAAGTCAGGCTGCCCCACTCTTTGCCTGCTCAAAATGTACAAGTGTCACGTCAGTATTTGTGGAACCTCATTAGTCGGTTTATTTAGTTCTTCACAGGTGAAGAGTTAGATATGAAAAAAAATGAGATAAGATAACTTCTGGAGGATAATGGAATTCTCAGAAAACAGGCATTGCTTGGGACAGCTATTCATGGTGGCCCAATAGACCGTTGAGGTGAGAAAATGCGCATGCGTCATTGATTTTCTTGGCTTGAGCTCCACTTTTGCTTGCAGCAGTTTCGTAGCTTTTCAGTGACTGTGGAAAGCGAGGCCGGAGGGCGTCACTGGATGCTTGTGGGCCGATATGTTTGTTTTAGAGGCATAGCAGGTCCAAGGCCGAATAGGACCTTTAAGGGACCATATAGGTGAGACATAACCCAGGTCACCAGACTCAGCCAATCAACGACTTCTTTAATTGACTTTTTATAATCCCATTTTCTTTCGCAGCCAATATCAGAATTGGGATCCAATCCTGGTTTTCCAAATAAGCCACAAGGAGCTATGCGCACAGGAGGAAGAAAGTCACATGTATTGAGGGTGTACACTGTGCCAGGCATTTTGTAATTCAGTGGAAGCATGCTTTGGGTATTGGCCCCTTAGAGACAGAGATTCCTAATAGGTCATGTAAGTATCAGAGTTGCAAGATAAATACAGAGAGGAACATAAGATTAGGCATTGTGCTGATCTGTAAAGACTTATCCTTGGCTCAGTGGTTAAAAGCAATGGCTGCTCTTCCTAGAGGACCCAGGTTCAATTCTCAGCACCCGTATGGCTGCTCATAGCTGTCTGTAACTCCTGTTCTAGGAGATCTGACTTCCTTGCATATATAGGCAAAACACAAGTGTACATAAAATAATAATTTCAAGGGTTGGAACCTTGACACTGTGACTGAAAAGAATTAGGAATGGCACATTTGTGAGAAGAACAAGTTCTGGAAAAGGCTAAGCTTTAGAAATAAAACTGATGGGATGGATGGTTAGGTAGAAAGACAATTAGAATTGGTATCAAGGAGTCAAGAGCATTTCAATGAGGGACAAACTGCTTCAGATATTGAAGTCAAATTAAGGCAGGAAAGATAACCTGGCTGGTGAAACCCATGTTATCCACCATACAGGAACCTTGAGGGTTGGAAGTTAGAGGCCAGTCTGGACTAGGGCAAGAATATGTGTTTGGGGGAAAGCTAGGCAAGCTAATTATCAGTATGAACATCTGTGACATTTAGCTAGAAATAGTTTTAAATCTTAGAAACCAGAATGTATTGATGAAATATGAAAGTAGGAGAATATTAGTCAGACAACCCAAGAGAATGTGGAGCTCAGGAGAAACTGAAGTTTGAGAAGGGGAATTGTCAAGGGTAGGGAGACAGCCGGAAAAAACAAACAAACAAACAAACAAGAGAGTGAGTTTGGGAATAGTGGGACCTTTCCTTAAATGGGGTGATGGGAGAAAAGTTTCAAAGTGAAGAATCTGATGGATGCCACCCGAGTGTGAAAAGTAAATGGGAGAGAGAATTTCAGGTAAGCAAGGCTAAATTTCTGAATGTCTTGGGGACACACAGAAGACTTGCTGGGCAGTGGTGGAGCCCACAGGTTTGTGGTTGCAGCATTCTAAAGGCTTTGTTGTTTTCATCCAACAGTTGCTTGTACTTTAGATATGGGAGCAGAAGGTAATGGTTAAATTAACCTAAGCTGAGATACTGCATGTCACAGGTATAAACAGGGAATAAGGGCATGGCAGCAAATTATTAAAAGGTCTGGTGTTTACGCTGGGTAAAGTGAAGCCATAAGGGAGCTAATTAGGGGAGGGAAAACACATTCCTTGAGACTTGTCTTCAGAGGATAGTCCCAGGATCCCTCTAGAGCAGTGGTTCGCAACCTTCCTAAGGCTGTGAGCCTTTAACACAGCTCAAGTTGTGCTGACCCCCAACCATAAAATTTTCTTTGCTGTGCAACTGTAATTTTGATCTTATGAATTGTAATGTAAATATCTGTATTTTCCAATGGTCTTAGGCCGCTCACAGGTTGAAGTTGCTGCTCTGGAGGTGAGACAAGTTAGGTCAGCCAGGTCATGCACATTTGCTAGTACCTTGCCTTTGAGAAAGCGGCAAAACCCGCTAGGTTTTCAGAGGAGCTCCTGGAACTGTCACTAGCTTTTTCTTTCTGTGGTAGTGGTACTGGGATTAAATTTAGCAATGTGTATGCTAGGCAAGCTCTCTACCAAATTTTAGTTTGAAATGTCTTGATAAGATGCCTGGACTGGCTTTGCACTCACTAGTTGGCAGGCCTTGTCCTCCAGTCCTATCATTAGTAGTTGGGATTACAGGTATACACTACCATACCAGGCTGCCACCAGCTTTTAATACTGTAATAAAGGGTAACAAAGGTAAGTCAGGTGCTCATTTATTAAATACAAGTTTTGAACAAACACCCCCAGGCAGGTTTGACAAGAAGTACCCTCCCTGGAATGTTTCAAATACAGTTATGTTGATCGAGTTTTATTTCAGTCAACCTCTTGGTTGTTTTTTGTTCTTCAGTTTCTGTCTCTAGGTTCTTTTCCCATTTAGCAGTTATAATATGTGCACTATTTCCTCACATGACAACAGTGCAGCACCAGCATGGCTTGTAAAGGTACCCAGTAATCGTAGGCTTTGCCCACTGGCTGCTTGGCAACCAGAACCAAATAAAGTAATGAAGCTTTTGTAGAATGTGGTACCACGCAGCAACTGGCCCCTTCACCTGCACTGTTAGACTACTTCTCAAGTGTCCCTCAACTTTCACACGCCAGGAAAAGCTATATTAAACAAACAAACAACTGCTTGAACCCTAAGTAATTTTCCAAGTTTAGTATTAGCCTCTTACTGAGTTATGAGCAATACCAGAGCTGACCAAAGTCTTCACTTTCCTTTCCTACTCCAGCAAGTAAAACTAGGTATGTCAGGAAGTCACAACAGATTCACAGCTGCTGCCGAGTTCCAGACGAGACACCCCTTTACCTTTGCAAATGCACATGTGTTTTATTGGACCAGGGTGGTAGTCTTTAGAGTTCCTTTTTCTAGATGTCTTTAAATTAGTTCACAGAAAGAAAGAAGGCACAGAGGACACTTGGTTTCCTCACCAATAGTGGCCTGAAGCTACACACTTGCTTTTGTGATACAAGGTATTCAGCAGCATCAGTGGTGTCACAGCCATTCATAGAAAAGTATCAGAAGAGCTTAAAAAGAAGACAAAACACAAACTCGCCAAAAAAGGCTTACAATCTGAAGGGTCAGTTTGGAAGTAGAATACAGACAGACACTAGAGGCAGCATAGAGGTCATCAGCTAAAAAACTGCTGGAAGCAGCTGTCTTCTTGAGGTTTTGTACCCATTTTCCTCCAGTTTTCACTTGCAAAACTCTGGCCTTCCCCTTTTTTCAAATAAAAGCATCCCACCACATTAGCTTTGGAAAAATAAGTGCAGCAGACAGAAGCTTATTTCATATGCAGTTCATTCCCAGAGAGGGAAAGCAGAATAATGCACAGCAAATGAAGTTCATTTGAAGAAAAATCCTGTCAACCTGTACCTAAAGGCCCAGGGTTAGTATTCTGGCATTCACGAATGTTCCCTAGGCTTCCCTGTTCACAGAGAAGCACAGCCACAGGAAACACTGATTTACTAGCCAGAGTGAGGTGCTCTCTCTGATCATAGATTTTCCAGTTGATACTATCAAAAAACACACAAAGGACTGCTTTTGGCAACTTGTATTGGAATACCAAAACACTGCTTCTGTAGATGTATATGCTTTTGTAACAGTAATGTTCTGTAAAGGAAGCCACAATCCCATTTTCTCATCCTTTACACCTCTGGGCTGAGACTAGTACTGATACAAAAACATCCCATAGAGGACTGAGCCTCTCATAGCAAAACAGTTGGAGAAGTGGGGCTGATCCACTTACTAATGATCCAGAGCTCAGTGGATTTAAAATGGCTCCTGGATAGGATTTTGCTCCAATCTCTACTTTGTTAATTGATAAACTAAGGCTAGATGAGAAGCAGCTCTTAGAAGCCAGGTCACAGCCCAAACATTTGCTATATATATGTTAGAGTCTTAGAATTTTACCTGCCTAGACTGAGTATGTGAGAAAACACTGCCATATACTACATAAATCTTAGCAGGAGGACACAATATAATGTGGTATACAAAAAGGACACAGTATCTGTGTATAACAGACACACACTACATTAAGTGTCCTAAACTGGCATTTTCATAGATACAATATTTTTCCCAGGCCTAGTCCTTGGAGCACAAAAGAGAAAAGGGCCCAACAGTTTCTTATTCTCTTACTGGAGGTTTCACCCATCAGTATCACTCATTAAAAGATCATGCAGTTAAGTTTTTGGTGGTGACAACCTCATAGGAGTGTTTGTGATGGTATCTTTAAGTTACAAGAAAATACAAAGCTAAGAGATACCAACACAAGTTGTATAAGGTTCTCCCATTTTATCCATTAGCCAAAAATGTATACACACACTAAGGTATTTGTATTTATCTGGAAAGTTACTCTGTAATATTACAGAGCTATAGTAAGAACAGGGTCTTAAGCCCAGACCTTCTGGGGTAATAAATAACAGTACATCAGGGCTTTTGGATTCTATCAGCTGTCACTAAAGTAGCTGACATCATAGACTTAAAAGCAGTGTTCACTAAAAAATGTCTCAACAGTACTTGGGAAGGGAAGGAATAAAGTGACAGGACATTTTTGTTGTTGGACTTAATATAATTTAGGACAGAAAAGGAAACGAGGAATAGGAAAACTAAGGCTGAAAATTAGTGATTTATAAAGAGGCTGTGAGAAAGAGAAATTCCTGCAAGCCAGGGAAACAAGGTCTTAAGAATCTTAATTATCATAATTTGCACAAGGACAATTTTCTAATTTAGTAAAGAAAAAACAACACATGAAATAAACTGAA